AGCGGGAACTCCGGCTCTCCAGACCTGATGGGTTTCCACCAGGGAGGTCCTCCGCGTCGGTGAAGGAAGAAGAATGCCGTTTCCAACCCTGGCTCCTTTACCCCCCAAAAGACCATTTGTGATGCAAGTCGTTTTTAAATGTCTCCTCGCAGAAAAACTGAAAGTAGAAAGGAAGCAATTTTCGAGCAGATGTCTGACCACCCCTTCTCGCACACTCCCAAGCATCGGGTTACAAGGTCCTGGGAGCCCCCACCCACACACTGCGGCCCCACACGGGTGGACTCACAGTCCCTCCGCAGCAGCTCGTGCGCGACCCCTGAACGTCCCACGGCACCCGGGAGCCCCTCTCCCTGCGCGTCCGGGCCGGGGGAGGCACGGAGGATAGCAACGCAACGCAGTGATATGGGGATAAATATTAAGCCGTGACATTGACGTGCCCGGCGCCTCCCCTCCCCCGCGCTCCCGGCACACTCTGGGCTGCTCGGCACGCCCCCTCCCGTTCCACTGCGTCCCGCGCCGCGCCGCGCCGCGCCGCGCGTTCATCCCCGAGGGGCCCCTGCAACCTTTCCGCGCGAAGACGGTTCCAGCCCCACAGGGAAAGAAAAGTTAACTTCGCTTTTCTCGGAGGACCCAGGAAGGATTAATCGGCCAGGGAGAAGGCAGGAGCGCGCGGAGGGTAGCGGCTGGGGCTTCGAGAAGGAGGAGGAGGGGAGTGTGCCGGAACCCCAAGGAAGGCGCCTGGGATGTCTGATTGCACTTTCTTCTTGTCCTCCCATCTCGTCTTTTAGGTGGAATGCCCGTGGACTGAGACGCGCTCCGGCAGAGACTATGTAATCGGCTGAGGACTGCACTTCGGGGAGGGAAGAGGAGGGATCGCCTGGCTCCTCTGCGACTCAGCAGGCGGAGTTTCACAGCGGCACCAGGGTTGCGCCCGCCCGCGGGGAGGTCGCTCCATCCAGCCGCGGCGACCGCGAGAGCCCGAGCGCCGGAGCGCGGTAGTCGGCGGGGGTGAGGGAGAGCTAGACCCAGCTCCGGGGCACGAGGGAGCGGGCCAGGGAGTCCTGGAGGAGGCGAGCGGCGGGTGCGGACGAGCCGAGC